CTATCTATCTATCTATCTATCTTTCTATCTATCTATCTAACTATCTATCTATCTATCTATTTATCTATCTAACCCTCTAGCTATCTAGCTATCTAGCTATCTAGGGTATCTATCTATCGATCTATCTATCTGACTATCTATCTGATTATCTCTCTGACCATCTATCTTTCTATCTCTGTATCTATCTTTTTACCTATCTATCTATCTATCCATCCATCCATCCATCCATCCATCTATCTATCTCTCTCTCTCTCTCTCAACCTCTCAATCTCTCAATCAATCAACCAATCTATCTATCTATCTACCTACCTATCTTGCTATTTTTTTATTGGTGTACTGAAGGCTTCGATTCAGTCGCTGGAAATCTCCAGGACAACATCTTGGGCGATAGCCTTTGCTTCCAAGGGGCAGAGTTCCGGCCCTGCGGAGAAGTCGACCTGGCTGAGTACATCTCCTGAGGCCATGGCACATCCGACACGCCACGGCCCGCGTTGAAAAATGGCGTGACGCCGAATGCCGCGTGGTGTTGCCAGTTGCATTGCATCATCTTTCATTGTGCATCATGCATCGTAGTTACATTGTTACATTTTGCATCCTTCGCATCGCAGTTGTTAGTTGTTGCGACCATTAAATCTCAGTGTGAAACATGATGTCGCCGATTGAACAGTGTGCAAAGACTTAGGGAAACAGAATCAATAGTCCATGTTTGCAGAGCGATGGACGGGAGGACGAGATTCGTCCCGGATATCCAGGGATGGGTGGGAGACGTGCGCAATGCAGTGGGGGACTCAGACACTGTCTGACACTGCGGTGACCTTGACCCATTGGGAACCCACTCTGAAAGGGAATGTAGAAATATCTAATTATATTAGAATACTTATGAAAGGAAAAACACAGAACAGGAGAGATCAGACACATTGAAATTACATGCTGCAATTCAGAACCATGTTTGTTTCATGTATTTTGCATCGTTGCTTTTGGAACCTCGTCAGAATTCCCGTTGTAAAAATGGTGAACTTGCGCACTGTACAATGCTGTACCAACGGTTTTTTTGGTGAGTTTTCTCTTGACCAAGTGTGGAGGTGTGCTGCCTGAGCTAGTGGTAGTGATTTGAAATATTGTTCTTGTTATTATTACTATTATTAGTAGTAGTAGTATAGTAGTAGTAGTAGTAGTAGTAGGAGGAGGAGGAGGAGGAGGAGTAGTAGTAGTACTAGTACTAGTGGTAGTGGTAGTGGTAGTCGTCGTCGTCGTCGTAGTAGTAGTAGTAGGTTGTGGTTGTGGTTGTGGTTGTGGTTGTGGTGGTGGTTGTGGTGGTGGTTGTGGTTGTGGTTGTGGTTGTGGTGGTTGTGGTTGTGGTGGTTGTGGTTGTTGTGGTTGTTGTGGTTGTTGTGGTTGTTGTGGTTGTTGTGGTTGTTGTGGTTGTTGTGGTTGTTGTGGTTGTTGTGGTTGTTGTGGTTGTTGTGGTTGTTGTGGTTGTTGTGGTTGTTGTGGTTGTTGTGGTGTGTTGTGGTGTGTTGTGGTGTGTTGTCGTGTGTTGTGTGTTGTTTTGTGGTTGTTGTGGTTGTTGTGGTTGTTGTGGTTGTTGTGGTTGTTGTGTTGTGGTTGTTGTGGTTGTTGTGGTTGTTGTGGTTGTTGTGTTGTGGTTGTTGTGTTGTGGTTGTTGTGGTTGTGGTTGTTGTGGTTGTTGTGGTTGTTGTGGTTGTTGTGTTGTGGTTGTTGTGGTTGTTGTGTTGTGGTTGTTGTGTTGTGGTTGTTGTGTTGTGGTTGTTGTGGTTGTGGTTGTTGTTGTTGCTGTTGTTGTTGTTGTTGCTGTTGTTGTTGTTGTTGCTTCTGCTGTTGGTGCTGTTGGTGCTGTTGTTGTTGTTAACCTTTCTTCTTGACGCCCTCCCCCTTGCTCAGCCAGGTTCGGAGGACTTGCATCCGTAGAATCCTGGTTTCACCCTCACCCACTGACACACCCTCGGCTTCCTGGGGGACTGGAAAGGGAACCACCTGATTGGATTGATGTGAGTTGGGAGGCTGTCAGGAGTCAACCAGAGACAAAGTGGATCGAAATTGTGGCATGACTTGCACTTACAGATGCTGTCACCGCAGAAGTGAACTTGTGAAAGGAGAGTTGTTGCATTTGTGGTTCCAGCTGAAATTCTATTGTTTGCGCCGCGTCATCTGGAGTAACTTTGCCGATTTCGGCAGCTTTCCAACCAGTGGCGGCAATCTAGGGCATCAGGTAGGTTGGTCACTTGACTTGTCTTGATAAAGTTAGTCTTTCTTGCTCAGCCAAACACGATCTAGGGAGCGCATTCAGCTAACAAGTTGACTCCTGCCAGTCAATTTGTCAGAGAAACTTATCAGAGCTGCATACTGCATACTTGTTATCCAATACAATAGAAATGATATCAAATAATTACAGATATACAACATAGACGTAGACAGACCGTATCTCTCTCGGGCACTTGCTGTGTCGTTTTCGCGCCTTCGGGGCAGCCGAGCCAATGGGAGCCAATGACGGCCAAACGGAAAGCCAAAGGATGCGATGGGCGATGGGATCCTGATGGGATGCGATTGGAATTTTGAGATTCTAAAAAGGTCGGGAACCACAGATATTGGCCATTTATATTTCCATTTAAGTAGTTGAAGAATTGCTTAAGGAGTCACCGACCCATGTTGGGGTATCAAATATTGACCCAGATGATCCCAGATGTAAATGTTCTGTTGCCCTGATGACTTATGGCTGATTTAACTTATACTGTAGGTACTGTAGGTACCCCTTTTTCCGAAGACAATGAACATCTAATAAGAGTGTAAAACGCCAAACAGAGAGCAGGAGGAGGATGTTGCCACCTTCCGCGCACCGTGACGTTCCTGAGCCTTTGCATCTTTTGGGCTTCAGTCTGGCTGGTGATGCAATGGAAGACGTGCCTTGGCACTTTGGAACTCAAAGTGGCAATATGTTCTCTTTGGCACCCCCTGACAGTCCCTGACACCTCGAATGATCTCAATTTCAATCCAAAGTGATTTTGCAATTTGGATCTCTTCTCCAACTACGAGACCTTTCTATGCCAAGAAAACAAACAGCATCACAGAACAGGACACCAAATAGTATCAAATAGTATCAAATAGTATTAGTTTGATTGCGTTTCCCATTTTTCCATGGACAGACTTGGTGTGAGGTTCAGGCGCGCAGACAGTCAGACACACGCAGAGTCCCCGGAGGATCCTGCCGAGGTCGGCCCTCAGATCTGGACGGTACAGGGTGAAACAGTGAGTCTCTTGTGAGTCTCTTGATATCTCGATCGCACACGAACAACACATCACACAAACGCACACTAAGACCTATGATTCTATGATATCCTATGATCATATATATTGATAAATGTGTGCACTGGAAATGTTACAGATTGGCTGATCGAAAAAGGGCAAAGCTTGCATCAACCAGGCAGAGAAGATGTCGCAAGACGTCACCGCGATGCGTCCGGCTGTGCGGGGTGGCAAGGGAGCTGCCAGCTCACATGCAGCGCACCAAGGGCACCAACAGCACCAAGGTCCAGTTTATGGAGGCTATGGCTTGGGCAGTGCTGGTTGCTCCAGGGCTCCTTTTCGATGTTTGGTTCTGATGTTTTTGGAAATCTTGTGTCCAAATTTGATGATCGAGGATTGCTACAGTACTCGTCACACCAATTGCCACAATATGACTCAAACTTTCCCGGTCTTGTGCTGCTATCTCACTCAGATTCCACACGTTGTTTGCTCTTTCAGGGAGCACAGCTGTGCCGCTTGTCAGCGGATGCCCGCAAAGAGCGCGATGGGTTCTCAGATGACAGTGGGGAAATAAACGATTCACCGAAATGGTGAGGAGATAATAAATGGAGATTTTATAATCATACGTATATATATATATATAATATATATTATATAATATAATCTATGTGAATCTCTTGATATCTCTTGCCCCTGCGTTTTGTAGCGAAGAGCTGGATAAACACCAAATTTGGATTTCCAGCAGGAAGTTTATGCTGTCCGCTCACCAGCTCATGGATTGCGGTGAACGCATTTCTTGTTTGGTTGCGTGCTCCCATCGACGTCACCTACTGTTTGCTTTGAGTCATTGGACGGTGCAACAAAGATGAAGATTTGTTCTCTAAACAGCCTGAGGCAGGAAAGAAAAGTGGGGCCAGGTTCTGAAAGAGGACAGCTATATTTGTCTCAAATTTGCAGTAGCTGAGTGGTTCTGTTGGAAATTCGGAACTAGTTGCCTTCTGTCTCGGTGTGGTTTCCAGTTTGACTCAAGACAACTCGCAAATGCCTGCTGAATCTAGTGGACTGCAAATGTGAATCTAGATGAAGCTGATTATGTACTTTCATTGGATACATGGGTGATGTCCAACAAAAAACAGTTTGCCCCCTCAGGCATCCTGGGATTATTTTCAGCCCTGTGAAGGACATGAAGATCATCAAGTCTGGCAGCTCTTCAGTGAAGAGTTGTCACCGCCTTGGAGATGCTTTGGTTTTCGATCTCAAACACATGCAGGCGTGCAATGGCACCTATTGGCACTTATTCAAAACGCGCCTGGGCCACCATGGGCCACCACGGGCCACCGGGGTAGCTTTTTGGTGATGGTATGGGTATGGGATGCCACTGGTATGCAATGGCTTTCAACTGGTGTGGCTTGATACATGAACACATTGCTTTGCTGCTGGGCATCGTGGCACTGTGCAATTGGACAAGAACCACGTCAGCCTAATTCGATTGTCCTGATTGCGGATGCTCTCCAAGTCCAGATGGGGCATGTCAGGGGTCTCGCTCTACAGGCTCAAAAACAAGAGGGACATGCCTATGAGTTGTTCGTGGCTCAGTCAGCTGGCCGAGTGTTTCGCGGCTCAGCATGTTTTCGCATGGTTTTGCAATTGTGGCGTCAGGAGGGATAGGAATGAGGATGCTCGGCATTGCCACCCACTACTGTAATGGTTGAAAGTTGCAATGAAAGTTTCGGTGCCGTTGCAGTCATGGTTGTAGCTAAGTAGCGGCTAGGTTCATGCCATCAATGTTGGATGTTGAGGGGATTCTCCCAGCGTCGCGCTCCGCCATATCTTGAGAGGCTGCTGCCTGACTACGTTGTGGCAGATGAAGAGCAGCCGGGCTTTGAGCAACGCTCTTCTCTTCAACTGCAGCTTGACTTGAGATGGTGGAAACAGCATGGAAGAAAGACGTGCTTTCTATGAATAGCATTTAATTATACATATTTATACAGTAAAGTCTATTGATATATATATATATATATGTATTTGTTATTGGTTAGCTCTATATGGGATTTTGTAGAGTTATCTCATGTTTACAACCACGTGCCCCAGCAGTTTGTGTGGATAGCCTGCCAGGTTTTTTGCCTTGCCTTCGGGGCCCTTGCAGCCATTGGGGCCTGCGCATAGTCCCAAGGAGTGAGGATAGATCGGATAGGTTGGATAGGTTGGTTGGAGATCTTGAGACATGACCAACCTGAAGAAACAGTTGTGTTTTCATTTCGATTGTGATGTGCCACAAGATACAACACAGACCACATGACTGTGAAGATGGGCAGCAAAAAGGAAGCTTGCACATTACGCCGAGTGTTAGTAGCTGGTGGCTTGTTGACTTTGGTCACTGTAAGTTGTTGGCTTTGATTTTATTAACAATTCGGTAGGTTCTGGGCTTGTCATTCCGTCCCTTTCACAGGATCATATTATTGCTGGCGGTGGCGCTTACCGCCATTGGCGTGAACCCATGACACATGGCTTCGAGCACACTGGCAGCCGGCTGTGGTTTTCCATCCCGAAGAATGTCGCGCTGACACTTGGTCAAACGGCAAACCGGTTGATCGGAAGTTGTGACCAGTATTGGGACATCTTGGGACCATTGCGGCGCCTGAAGGCTTTTTAGGATATTTCAGGATTGTCACTGATTCATGTTGCTTGTTGTGAACCCTCATTGTACTCTTGGCGTTCTTGTTTATGATGGATGTAGTCGGCCAGTCCTGTAGATGTGTTGCCGTTTGCTGTTCTACCCACGTGACAAGGATCATGAGTTTTATAATTCTGCTACGGAGATTGTCAAGAAAGATCCACCACAGCCACAACGAACCCACATCACGTCGGAGACTCTCTCATCCCACCAACAATGCATTGATCATTCACCACCTATCACTGACCTATCACCCAAAGTATCTCAGATGGCAAAATATGCCAAGGAAAGAGCTTTCTCGCTTGGTCGCAGTGGTGTTTCCCATGACTCCCAATATGGGCTTCGTTGAGGTTGTACACAAACCTGACAAGTGCCTTGGTGGTGATTTCGTGGGGAAGCCACGGCTTCCCTGACTCCCCTGACTCCCATGACTCACAATATCTCACAATTAAGTGGGACACGTTCAATCAAAAAACTATAACATGTTGTAAGAATGAAAGGATGAACCTTTGTTCTGAGTCGAAGAACCAAAGGTTTATAATTCAATGAAATATAATGAATATATTATATATTATTAATATATAAATATATGTATATATATATGAGATCCTTTCAATTAACTTAATTGATTTAATGTCCAACGTTTTCTGCCGCAGGAAAATTAGTCTCAGAAGATCTACTATTTGTACCCATGTGTGTCATACATGTTTTCGAAGCATCACTTTTGCAAACGTTTTGTCCTTCATAAGGAAAGCGAAAGACTATGATCCCACGAAGAGGCCAGAGAAATGAGAAACGCCAGACAAAATCTTTCAGAGGTCCTTCACCTTGATATTTTGTCGAGTTTTGTCCAGAAGCTCGTAAATCTCGTAAGATTTGGTGAGGGTTTCATGCAACCATACCAGCTATAAATCACAACCGAAAGCTAACAGGCGCTATTGGGAAAAGATGGGAAAAGGATGGAAAAGGTATTTGACTGGTGAGAGGAAGTCCTCCAATGGATCAGCCAGGCGTCGCCGCAAGGAGATCCACCGGGAGTTGTTTTTTGAGACCTTTCCAACCATCGGAGTCGAGCCACATCTGGCGGACAGGCTCGGGAGTCACTGAGGCGACAGCTGCTGCTGAAAAAGTGGTTGTGAGGCCTGAGGCGACCCTGCCGGGGATCCACTACTTGTGGCGCACCAGCCACCATGACGAGTTCAATCTGGAGTTGCAACCTGGGGAGGCACGGTCTTGGAAGGGAAGGTGCGCTCTGTGTTTACGATAAGTTGCAGAGGGAAATTTGTTGGGAGGTGGGCTTGCTGGAACAACGAGGTGGAAGAACATCCAAGTACTGGAAATCGACTGCCTCAGCTTGTTCAAAAGCCTTGCCACAATCACCTTTCACTCCGAGCACCTTGCTACTCCAAGCCGAATCCATTTGTGGGCACTCGATACCCATCAATGAATTAATTGACACATCGGAAAGACAAACCTGGATCCTGAATGAATCCAAAGCATCGCTATGTCGAATTCCGCAGATTCATTGGTGCCAGCTTGCCGGGTGCTTCGTTTTATGTGGCAAGTAGATGGTGCATGATCGTGCAACATGCCACTGTTCCCTTCCAGCCTTGGATCCCGTTGCAGATCTACGAAAAGCGCATGCCGTACGCCTTCGCGGAGTATTTCGGCCGCTTTGAGAAGAGTGGTGCAGTGCTTTTCCCGCCACCTGCTTGTTACAAGTTCTATGAGAACAAGGCGCCACCTGTCACATGAAATGATCCCACCATGGGAAACATAGGATGAGGCATTTGATTTTTCTGGCGGGTTGGTCGGACCTGGACTTGTTCATTGTAAACTGAAACAAATCTCTGCCACTGAAAGTGAACAAAAAGCCATGATGAATCAATGGATATCAATATATATATATATATCAATGGTGAACAGCGTGAGCTGGTAGCCTGGATGAGCTGGTAAGCTACACACATGGCGCTTCAGGTGGCGCTGACCGAACTCTTCCAAGCTTCCAATGTTTTAATGCCTGAGACCTGGGCAGGGAGCCTCAACTCATTCAATTTCCGAGTGTGGCAGAGTATGGCAGACACAGGATAGTACGGCCACAGCCCAACTAGGAGCGGCATGACAGCGGCATGTTGTTAGGGCCCATTACAATCTACTTGTTGTGGGTGATGCTGGTGAGGTCTTCAGCAGTTTAGCTGATGCCATGGGACGTAGGGACCAGGTGCATCTTCCAGTGGTGCTCAAGGCGGCTTGGGGAGATGTGGCGAAATGTGGCGAAATGTGGCGAATTGGGAGGGTCATATTGAAACGCACAGGGTTGATCCCAGAGATGCTGTTACCGTTGTAATATGAGGATTGCATGAGAACATATTTGGATATATTTGGGTCCCTAAGACATTTGCTCAAAATGTTAGCAATCAAATGCAATCAACAACAGGAATAGAAGAGGATATGGCTCCGATGCTCCGACATTGCCAGGATCCGTACGGATATTCCAGCATTGGTCTGCCCTGATCTCAGACTAAGTGACTAAGTCAGTCTGAACGCATTTGAGTGTAGAGATATTTTGAAGTCAGGCTGCAAACAGCTCCCGACGTGAATGAGCCTTATATACTTGAGGCTTCAGGCCGAGACAATGCCGGAATTGATTGAAGCTTTCCAGACGTTTTTCAGCAAGGCATGGCCAGCACAGCCTATGCTCGCCATGAGTTTGGTCTTTTCGGAAATACTGTATCAGATGATGAGAATTGGTGAGATATGTATATATATATATAACATTCTATAACATTAGGAACTATATAAGGCAATAAACATGTGGATGTGTGGGCCAAAGAATCGGTGCTTCGCAGTGCCTTTTGAGGCCAAGCCAGGGGTAGAAGTCTTGGTGCAGAAGAAAGTCAGAGCGCTAAAAGAGGCCGTGCAATCAGCAACGTTCTTCTCATGCTGTGATGGTCGCATGAGCCTCTACAAGATTATACGATTGTGTCTTGGAATTTCTCGGGTTTCATGTCATGTTCTGACATGTTCGTCCACTTATTTGGGTAGCAGTGACATTGGTTTGAAGCAGAACAAAGTACAGTGAGTACAGCCATAGGCGCGGGTGACCTATGTGGATGGCCGCCCCTTCCATGGCTACTGGCGGATTCGACAAAGCCTGAAGAGTGCATCTGCTGCAAGTACCCGTGGTGGTTTCCAGGCATGTGGACCACGTGGATCATTGGGGGGATGGGGATGGGGATGGGGATGGATGGGGACGGATAGGTCAACCGCCCATGCGGCCCTACAGTATTGAAAAGAAACCATCCAATGACCATCCAATTTTGGGGGTACTGTACAACTTGGACCCGTCTCTATTTGAAGAAGAGCGGTCTCTGACGCTTTTTTCAGGGCTGGCGCAACCACTCACTGCCTCATTGGGTGTAGCTGTTTCAAAAATAAGACCATGAACACTCCATGAACATGGATGAATATGACTTGAATATGGAGGGATTCTTAACTTTGAACTCTGTGAGGTATAAGAAAGTTGGATGTTGGCAATTCTACTGATGGAACGTATCATTTGGACGGCAGAAACGTACAAATAAAGAACAGAGTTCTGGATTTGCTTCCTTTGTTGAAATGTTGTTACAAAGTGGAAGCTACTCTGATTCACCCATGGACGCCGATGGCCAGGACTTCAACTTTCCTCTTGAGACCATCGCTCCCTTTGTGGAGAGCTTTGCCAACAAGACTGGTGTCCCGGTTGGAGGCTCCAATAAGGGACAGCATGGTACATGGCGTGAAAAACTCTAGGTGAAAACAGACAGGAACCAAATATCTCAGATATCTATTTAGATGGGTGATCTTTCTTTAAAGATCTGGCTTTGGCGACCGGATTTTGTTGAGTTGAACGACCGTCCGACCACCCAGATGGAGGGAACCTAAGCTCGGCGCCAGCCGGCACCAAGTTTCCAACCCCTGTGCCATTCCATCCCACTTTCCTCATTGAGGATGTTAGAGTCTGTTAGAGCCTAGGTCTACGTTTGGGAACTTCCATTGCCTTTGAATGATCCCTCGTCAGGTGTGGACCTCATTTGGAAGGACAACCCGGACGTTCAGCAAGAGCCGTACACCTTGGAGGCAGCGCTCAGGGCACATCCCGGGGAGCAGTCTGAGATGAAGTTTGGGACAGTTTCCGTTGAAGATGAAACATTTAGCATCAACAGCCTGTGGTGTCAAGGATTGTTTAGATTTCACCCACCTGCACCTCCTACGTCCATCTACGTCCCAGTATGTCCCAGTCCAAGATCACAAGAAGAGAACTCTGCTGAAGTTCAGCTGTCAGGTGTCTCCAACCAGTGACATCAATCCGCCCAGTCCACCGGACTGGAAGGAAGGGTATGCTGAATTCAAGCATACCAAGGTGGGAAGACAAGTGGTTGGGACTGGAATGGCCGTGAAATCATCAGTTTCTGCAGGCGTGCCAGCCAGGAGTTTGTGATAGATTGTGCATGTCCATCAAGAAAGCTGGACAAAGCATGTTTATGACGATTGATGACGAATGTAATTTATCGATATTTATCGGTGTTATTTCTGTTGCAAGATATTGCAAGTGAAATGAAGTGAACAATAAGTGAACTATTTGTGCACCCCAAGCTGAAGGCAGCAAACAAGTCCTTGAAGCCACCACGCTCCACGCTGCACGCTGCCACGCTGCTTCCATGTCCCTGTCCACTGTCCAGGGCTTCCGCAACGCCTACTTGGGCATCCGCCACTTGGCAGAGAGTTGGAACGCCGATGGCCGCCGATGGCCGATTGCGAGCTGTGCAGCAGCTGCGTGCATCATCCCTCCCAGATCTCCCAGGTCGCAAGTGGACAGAAGCCATGGTACTTGCAGTTCCTTGACAGCACGAGCTGCTTTGATTTGAGATATTTTGAGATATTTGATTCAGTCTGAGGAATGTGTTCTGAAAGTCTGAAACAGATGATTTCCTCACAGGATATCTAGTGCGTGGGTCAGCAGTGTGCATTGTGCAAGTCTGATGAAGTGTGTATGAATTGGTGGCTTTGTGCCGAGGTTGTGGACTGGTCTGGGCCTTGACATTCAAGTCGTAAAAAAATGTGGTTGCTTTCGGATCTTGGGGCTGAGTTGCTACTGTTGGAAGTATGATTTGAAATGACTTAGTGCCTGCAGAAGGTCAGGACTTGAATGAATATAACTAAACAGCATGAACATATATGAACATATATGAACCAGATAGTGTGAACATGTGTGAACATGCGTGAATTGACAACGCGATACCGAAGTCATCCGAAGTCCGCAGCCCAAGGCACCGAAGAAGCAAGAGGCACCTCTTCGTTGGCCAGGAAGCCAAGGAAGCCAAGGAAGCCAAGGAAGCCAAGGAAGCCAAGTTTCGGAGGATTTCGGAGGATTTCGGACGGCATCTCAAGCCATGGCTTCCTTGGGCCTTTGGGCCTTTGGGCATTCACGCGATTCTCAAGGCATGGATACGCTGTTCCAGAACTCCCAGGTGGGATCCGGGCCTTAATGAGATCATGAACCATCAGTGAAATCACTTGCCAATCACAGACATGACAATGTAAATAAGATCAGACATACATTTACTGCTACATAACAATACATAACATTCATATTGTAGACTCGTAGACATTCATATATTAAACAAATTGTTATCACCGAAGATGCATTTGCCTTGCTTGCACCATATGTACTTGTTTGATGCATTCTCCCTGGAAGTGTTCCAAAAGTGAGCAGTCAGTCGAGAAAAGGCTGTTGTTGCTGTTGTTCTTGGTCACCAGAACCAGTCCTCACATGGGGATGGATGGGGATGGCTGATGTTTGAAGACAGGTTGCCGATGGTGCTCTAGATTCTCTCCTGACCCTTCGGAGGTGCTGTAGTGATTTCAGGTGATTTCTTGGTTTCGAGAACTGAGGGTGTTCAGAGGTCTACTGTGTCTACTTGTTTATATAGATCTATTCAGTACGCTTCGTTCATTCAGGAGCCCATTTCATCATGTTTTGCTAGGAAAGATTCGGAAGGATGTCTTTAACTTCCCTCCACCTTGCAAATAAGAATAGTTTTTTTTTCACAGGAGGGATCAACAGAGCGTCAGAGGGTTCCTCATGCTGAATGCACTTTCAAATCCTCCCTGATACCGCTGCTCCCCCTCCTGATAGCAGAGGAGCTTCTTCATCCGGCTGTTGACATCACCTTCACTTGATGATAAGGATCTGAAGGACTAGCAGATTGAGTGCATGGTATTCCGCAGTGCATAAGCATGTCAAATGTATTCAGATTCTTGCCTGCTGCAGATCAAAGGGTTGGCCATATTGGACGCTTGACAGTGGAAGGAAAGTTCCGGCCATGCGCCTTGACGATCCAGCGGCCAGTTTGGGTAGGTAGCAGATGGTTAGCACAATGGATACCATATCATCACATATCATCACCATTATATAATAATATATCACCATCATTCTGATCAGATTCTCATCATTCTTGGCGCACAAGCTGAAGCGCAGCTTCTGCCTGGCAAGTTTCCAGGATCCCCTGAATAGCACTCTTGG